AACATGATTAAACACGTTATCTCCAATGCAAAGCCGAATAGTACTCACACCTTTGCTCCAACTCTGCCCATTCAACATCTTTCATGTCATCTGGTTGCCCTTCCTTTTTTCTTAGCAAGGGGCGCATTAAGCCTTGCTGTACAAGGAGATCTTTCATCTTTCTCTGCCATTGCGTGAAACTAGTGTTTCCATCAAACTTCTCAATTGAAAAAATTTGTAGAACTAGTAACTTTTGACATCCTTGTTGAATCTTGAATTTTACTGAACCCGACGCTCTGATACCAGTTTGTTGTGAAAATTGCCCAAGAAACAACAAAGATAAAATCCATAGAAATCAAGCAAACAGAAAAACACAAAAATTTACGTGATTCGACCTCTTGCCTACGTCCACAGAGTGAAACTATTCTTATATTATTGAGAAATTAAAATACAATAAATTGACCTCTATGACTCCTCAAACCAACCCAAGATCCCTTGTACACTCTTTCTCAATAACCTCCCAAGAACACTCACTAAACCACTCTAACTCCACCTAGAGCAAAAGACAGAGTTACAAAGTGTTACTTCTCTAAAACTCTCAAAGCACTACTTGTAATTCTAAAGCCTAGAGATATACTTTTATAGTATAAAAGTTCAAAGTAAAATGTGATTAGGACTATATAGAATAAGAAGTTTAAAACTATTAAACTACTTAATGTTGTACATAAACCAAAATTCTAATTAAATAAGATATAAAATTCTAATCAACTTAAAACTTAACAAATATAGATTCCATTCTACTATCATGGTTTAGGCAATTATTGGAGTTTGGACTTACATTCAATGGTAACAGTATCCATGAATTCTTGATCATTTGCCATGACATGCAAGGTCTCAGACAAAATGCATGCTTCAATATCAATACTTCCTTCTTCTGCTCCAGGGAACAACGTAAGCTTCCCATCAAACTTATTTGCGGGCCCGCTTCTTGCTGCAATTGGCTTACCCCATCCAAAATCATTACCATACATGTTGAACCGAGGAGAACTACTTGCGATTAGAACGTTGCTACTCATCATGGCCATTTTTATGACCTTAGGGCTTGCTATCCATGACTCCAGGACCTTTTTGAACTCTTCTTCAGTTTGTGTAGCGATCATCCTGTTCATTTGCCACGCGATATCACCTACTCCTTTTTCTTGCAGCTCCTTTGCTTTCATTTTCACACTTTCACTCTTCACTGCATTTCCGAAATACTGTTTAGGCAGGTCGCGCAATCTTGCCCTGGCACCAATTAGCATGTAGAAAATCATCTCTTCATTGGGGTCTAAATTTTTGTTGCGGATAACAGATCGCCAAATATGAGATAAGAGTGCTTGAAGAGAGGAGATGCTGTTTGTCCCAACTTCAGCGTTGGCTCTTTCTTTGAGTTTTGCAATGCTTTGCTTTGTGAAATGGAAAACCCTTTCTTTCAAATTAGGAGGTAGAATAAACTCTTCATGGAATTGCTCAGCATAAGATCGAGGGATCCGAATAGGATAATTGATACTGTGAAGAAACGAACGTTGAAAAACAGGGAGTTTAGATAAGTGAATCGAACCTCTTGAAATTTCTGACCATGAATTAAAGAAATGCCAAAACGATGAACCATCGACCACAGAATGATTGATGGTACAACCAACAAAAACACCATCCATAAGCTCTGTCACCTGCACTCCAAGTAATGGGTTAGAAAAGCCCTCATAGTTCTTAACCCCATTAAGTGGGAAAAAGGAATGAACAATTGAAGGAACATAAACAGGTTTAACAATGTCAGAAATCGTTACTCCATCGGCTTCAGCATGGATAAACAAGGCTCCAGCATTATTACAATCAATACAAAAGGAAATGGTGTCATCGTCATGTTCATTGGTAGCTAGGCGACCTGCCAGGGGTGGAAAATAGTCTAGAGTGTGGGCAAGAGAAGCTTTTAAGTGTTGTATCAAGGTGTTTTCAATTTCCTTCTCTGGGGAAGGTTTTGGCCTGGGAAAAAGAAGTCCCTTCTGGACAGGGCCCACTGCAAAAAGGTTAAGATCCCATGGAGTTAACTCAACCCTCTGAGTCCATGCCTTGTGGGTTTCTGCTTGGACCATAGTACTCGAGATGCATCGAATACCTGCCATGGCTTCTCCAAGTGAAACGTTTCTGTAATCTCGCTAAGTTATAGAAGTTCTATGCACATTTGTTAATGGTAACCTAAAAGCAACCTTGGATATCTACGAGATTAACCAACAACCATTTGTTTCGCACTAGTAGATTTTTTGAGCAGTACTGGTCGGTGGCTTAACACGAAAAACATGCAGGTTTATGTCGAATACGTGGCAAAACTAGTACCATGCACCTCAGATAAACATAAAGTAGCATCTGCTGTCAGCTCCAAGTTAGACATTGATTGTGATCTCTATCCATTTCAAATTTATTGCGTAAGAAAAAGCCGATTGTTCACTGTCACTGCCACCCACTGGCCACCTCTTCATTGCTCTTCTTTTTCTCCTTTGATGATATCTTTTTTCTTTTTCTTTTTTAACAAATGAAAGGCTCGTACTATCTTTTTAGGCTTTATGTCAATTGGAAGGGAAAAGAAGAGTTACTTATACCTCTTCAAGTTTTTTTTTTCCCGCCATACTCATTCGATTCAGAAATTTGAAGAGAAGATTTTTCTTTAAAAATGTTTTATTGTATAGATAGAACCATTTTGGGTCATCATTCTTCTGTTCATTTTCACTTAGCTTAACCAAAAACAAAATTGATAATGATGCATCTTTCTTTCCTTTTTACTCTCCATATAGCAATATCTGAATTCAAATTTTCATTTTCCTCTCTTCCTCTCTTCATTTTTACCACACAATATAGTTAGCTCATCAAACTCCCTTCGTCCTCAAAGTCAATTGAAGAGTGAATCATTCTATTCTGCCGCTACGTGAGGTAAACTTTTGCACTAGTAATAAGTAGTAGTAATAACATAGTTATCGGTGGGAATTTGACAAAGTTTTTTGACGTTTGTGATGAAGACTTACCCTTGTTATGAATGCCCGTGTACCAATTTTTAATAATCATAGTACACTTGTTTCATTATTATTGTTCATCTTTAATTTCACAAAAACTAAAGGAAAAAAAAAAGTTAATTTTAGCTAGCGTGTGATTGATGAATAAGATTAATGAATAATTGACTGTTGGTTGAAATTTTGGGTTATAAAAACGATATACTATATGCTTAAATATGTAGAGTACAGGCAAAAAGGAATTGAAGAAAGCAAGAAAATTAAATCGACATCCATGACATACTTTATTTTCATTTTCAAAGCATGACAGTTGTAAGGCATTGTCTATTAGGTTTTACACGAATTATTCTTCAAAGAACATGTGTTATTCAACAGGCAATATTAAAGCATTTTCAGATTCAGAGTTTGGGAGGACATTAAACGGTGAAGATATCCATGAATTCTTGATCATTTGCCATAACCTCCACTGCGGCATGCTTCAATATCAATACTTCCTTCTTCTGCTCTGGGGAACAATGTAATCTGCCCATCAAACTTATTTCCTGGCCCGCTTCTTACTGCAATTGGCTTTCCCAATCCAAAATCATTACCATACATGTTGAACCGAGGCGAACTACTTGTGACCAGGGCGTTGTTTGTCATTCCGCTCAAAGTGATCAACTTAGGGCTTGCTGGCCAAGACTCTAGGAAATTTTTGAATCTTTCTTCAGTCATCGTAGCAATTATCTTGTTCATTTGCCATGCCACGTTACCATTTCCTTGTTCTAGCAGCTCCTTTGCCTTCATTGTTACAGTCCTACCCAGCATTGCATTTCCAAAATGCGTTTCAGGCAGCTCCTGTAATCTTCGTCTAGTGCCAACTACAATAACGCAATTGGTCTCTTCATCAGGGTTAAAAGTTTTGTTGCCGATAAAAGATCGCCAAATATGAGACAACAGGGCTTGTTGTTGGCGCCAATCTCAACATTGGCTTTGGCTTTGAGTTTTGCAATGCTTTCCTTTGCGAAATGAAAACCCCTTTCTTGTAGAGGTGGTACAATGAACTCTTCATAGGTTTGTTTGAAATAAGGAGGAATACGAATGGGAAGATCAGTACCATCAGGAAACCAACGTTGAAAAACAGGGGGCTTGGATAAGTGAATTGAAACCCTAGAAATTTCTGACCATGAATTAAAGAAATGCCAGAATGATGTACCATCAGCCACAGCTTGATTGATGGTGCAACCAATAAATATACCATCTACAAAATCTGTTATCTCTATTCCAAGTAAAGGGTTAGTAATACCGTCATAGTTCTTGAGGCCATTCAGTGGGAAAAACGAGTGAATAATAGGAGGAACATAAACACGCTTGATGATGTCGGAAATGGTTACTCCATCAGCGGCAGCGTGGATAAACAAAGCTCCGGCATTGTTGCAGTCAATAGAAAAGGAAATGGTGTTATCTTCATGTTCAGTTGTTGCCAGGCGACCTGCCAGGGGTGGAAAGTAGTCTAGAGTGCACGAGAGAGAGGTCTTTAAGTGGTGGATTAGGGTGTCTGCAGTTTGCTTCCCTTGCGGAGGTTTAGGCTTGGAAAAAAGAAGTCCCTCTTGGCTTTGCCCTATTGGAAGGAGCTGAAGATCCCATGGAGTTAACTCAATCCTCTCACCTGATGCCCTGTGATATGCTGCCTGGACTATACTGCTGGAGACGAATCGCACGTCTGTCATGTTTTCTCCAAGAAAAAATCTTCACTCAACTCGGTATAAGTTCAAAAGCTGGTTGTGAGAGCTATCAAAAGCTGTTTCTTTTTTCTTTTTTTGAAAAGCAGCTATCAAAAGCTGCTGCCATGTGAATTGAAGTCCCCCTTCCTTCCTAGCTTTGCCAATACAAACCTGCCAAGTACAATCAATCGTTGCAGTTTCCATTTTTATGAAAAATTTTATACAAAATACTGCTGTTAGCAGGTCCCTCCCACTTACTGCCACACCTACTTGTTCCAAAATGTAATCAATTATTCAAATTCTTTTATGTTTAGCAAGATCGCTGATGGAAATACTGAATTCAGCTTTGTCTTGCTAGTTTAAGTGTTGGAAGAACTAAGAACACTAAACTTTAGTTAGTTAATTATTTCTTGTTCTTGTTTCCTCGGTGTTGTACAGACGAAGTATATATCTCTGAGTGCTCTGCTAATCCTGTTAAAGTGAATCAACAACCAGGAAAATATTTCTACATCTTTGTAACAAAATAAATCGATTATTTTTTAGAGTTTAACACTACTTCAAGAATAAATTTGAAGCCATATCAAACTAAAACAATTCCAACTCAACCTGACTTGATGCCGAAAACAAAACAATCAAATCAGCCAAGCATATGGAATAAACACAGCAATAAATCAAGAACAAAACATGTTGTTTAAAGGTTCAAACATAAAGTAGAAGAGTTTCCAGTGCTTACAGGAGTAAAATGGTTATGGCACCCAACTTCTCATCTCTCTATTTCTTTTTCCTGTTCTATCATGTTTCTGATCTTGTTTCCCCGGTCCTCGGTAGGCCTGTATTATTTAAAGCACTGTCTCATCTACATATTTTATAATTTTGTTGCTATGGGACCTACAGCCTAACTACATTATTGAAGTTAAATATAAAGTAAAAAAAAAAAAATTGAAATTGGGTTTACAACCCAATATGTATCCTTGCCATCCAGGAACTCCACACCTTACAATTTGTCTCAGAAAGAAGACCCAAGGATCGCATTATTAATTACAGCATTAGTTTGTGGCCTCAATTCCAAATTTGATTCCTCCAATACAAATTTCACGTTATTGGATATTGTAATGTGTTAACCAAGTTGAGGAATTAAGATTCTTTGACTAGATTTTCACCGCATTATACCTCCAGTTACTGATATTGTGAATTTTACATGCTTTAGTAGACTATAGCATCTTGGCCCTATCAAATGCATGGAATGCAAATAAAATTTTACCAAAAATGTTGAATAAGGTAAATATTTCAGGCAAATTGATTTCTATTAGGATAATTTGGTATTGGAATACTGGACTCTCAAAATCCAGTTTGGTTTGTCAAACACAACACCATGCAGGTTTATAGTTTTCAACTTGTAACAAGAATATGTGATTTTTCATTCAATTACAAAAGTGAGCTAGCCCTTATGGTATCAATGAATTGAAGAAATTACCAACGATTTAATTAGGAGAAAATTATGAGGAATAACCTTTCTTGATAAGGGTATTTTAAAAATAAATTCAATACTTTTTAACCATATTTAGTCATGACTCGATAAAAATACTCTCGAAATTATTTTAAATAAATTAAACCGTTTATTACAATTTTTTTTCTATTTGTGCTTTCGATTTCTCTCTCTCACCATCCCACTCTCTCTAATTTTTTCGATTTCTCTCTTTGGCATTCGTCTAGTATACTCATCTCTTGATTTCTCTCTCCTACGTTTTCAGATTTCTCTTTCTTGTACTTTCAAGACATTAAGCGATAGTTTTGATGTGCTTAGGTAGGTGGTTATTTGAGAAATTTGATTTTTAGATATTTTGGATAAAATTAAATTGTAGAAATGATTACATATGTTTGAAATAGTTTGTAATTGTATCAATTTGGGACATAGACATCAATAAACTCAAGAATTTGAAATTTATAAACCTAGGTTTTTAAAAGAATTTTTTTTTTTAGTCAAAATAAGTGTTTTAGATAAGAAAATTTATGTTTTGATTTATGAAAACATATTAGAAACATTTTAATCGGTGTCAAATTGTCAAAAAGATAAAAAAAAAATGAAGAAAGTTGAGATGATTTAAAATTTTGATTCGTAAGTAACAATAACATTTTAAGTATTAAAGTGCAACAAAATGTTTTTGAATATGACGTGTAATAATAATATTTTTTCAACATGCTGTGTAACAATAATATTTTTTTCAATACGGCGTGTAACAACATTTTTTAATTATGGTATGTAACATGTTTTTCTGCATGACATATAATAATAGTATTTTTTTTCAACATAACGTACAACAATCTAACCATAGTGTGTAACATATTTTTGTACATGACATATAACAATAGTATTTTTTTTCAACATGACATACAACAACTTAATCATGGCATGTAACAACATAAACATGATATGTAACATATTTTTATACATGACGTATAATTTCATTAACGATAATTTTATTTAATTTAATTAAAAACAGTTAAAATTATTTAAAAAAATTATTTTTGAAAATATTTTTCTTTAAAGATTATTTTTAAAAATGTCCTTTAATTAGAGCAGCATTAAAAACAACAGTAGGAGACCAAGATCATATGGTCAATGCAGCCATGAACTCTTCATCATTTTCCACGGCCTGAAATGTCTCAGGCGAGAGGCAAACTCTAATCTGAATACTTCCTTCTTCCACTCCACAAGACGCTGCCAACACCCCGCCACACTTGCTCCCTGCCCCAGTTCGCTCTGCAATCGGTCTTCCCCAACCAAAATCATTGCCATAAATATCAAACCTTGGTGAACTAGCTGTTAACAAAGCATTGTTCATCATTTGACCTGTTTGGTATAGCCTAGGACTATTTACCCAGGACTCCAAAAAGTTCATAAACTTTTCCTCTGTGTGATTATCAACAGTTTTATTCATTTGCCATGCGGCGTTTCCAAGTCCCTTCTCGAGTAGCTCCCCTGCTTTCAAAGTTACTATCGCACTTTGAACTGCGTTTCCAAAATATTGTTCTGGCAGCTGCGGCAATTTTTGTCTAAGACCAATTACTAAAAAAATGATGGTCTCTTGATTGGGGTCAAGATGCCTATTGCGCATAATGGATTGCCAAAAATGAGAGAAGACTGCTTGAAGAGAGGATATCTTGTTGGTGTTCATCTCAGCATTAGCTTTTGTTTTCATTTTCACAATATCCTGCTTTGCAAGATGAAAAACTCTTACTTGCAAAGGTGGTGGAATGAACTCATCTTGAATATGCAGATATAACGTTTTGGGAATGCGAATAGGGTAATCTATACCATCAAGAAACTGACGTTGAAATATGGGAGGTTTAGATAAATGATCAGAACCACGAGAAACTTCTGACCAACAATTAAAGAAATGCCAAAACGAAGTGCCATCGACAACAGAATGGTTCATGCTGCAAGCAATGAAGATACCATCCACAAGCTCAGTCACTTGCACTGCAAGCAATGGCTTCGAAGTACCCTCGATATTCTTAACCCCATCCATTTGGAAAAACGAGTCGAAAATTGTAGGAACATAGACGGGTTCAATGAGATCAGAAATGGTTGCTTTCTCAGCGACAGCATGGACAAATAAGGCTCCAGCATTGTTGCAGTCAATGAAAAAAGAAGTGGTTTTGTCATCGTGCTCGATGCTGGCAAGGCGGCCTGCAAGTGGAGCAAAGAAGTCTAGTGTACGTGAAAGGGAGGCTTTCAAGTGTTGGATCAAGCCATTTTCTGGTTCCTCCTCTTGCGGTTTGGGCTTATGGAAGAGCAATCCCCATTGCAAGTAGCCGACTAAAAGGTGTTGAAGATCCCATGGAGTTTGCTCAATCCTGTCAATTTCTTTCCTGGGGCTTCCACCCTGGACGATACTCGAGGAAATGAAGCGGATGCTTGCCATAATATTTTCCGTAACCTCACAATTTTTCTGCATATCGGACTTCCACGAATTGCATATATAGATTATTTAATCATACAGTTAATTAAGGTTTCAGTTTCTTGTTTATTATTGTCTGTAGGTTTCAGTTTCTTAATTAGGCCTAAATTTTTCTGGAGGAGAAACGTATCCTGTTTAAGAGTACAGTATTAATTCCATAAAAGAAAAAGGATCAGGTATCAAAGCACCACCTGTTTACTTCTCTGCTATGAACCTGATGATTTCCTCATTTAATTCCTTGAAAGCATGAAATAAAAAGGGAGTTTTAAACTCTGTTTGGAACAATGAAAATGCTTTTGGAACAATATTTTCAGTCATACTCATTTCAAGTGTTTATATAGAATAAAACATTTTGTAGATGAAGAAAAAAAAAATCCTTTCAATAAATCATTTTCCGGTTACTGAACGAAACTTTATGTCATATAATATTTCAGATGTAAAAACTAATCTAAATTAAGAAATAAATAATCTGAACAAGAAAATGGTAAGCGAAAGGAAAATTCATACTGTATAGTCTTATAGAATAATTTGGCTACAGTTATTTGTTTTTATGCACTGCGCAAACTAATGATGGGCCCTTCTGGACAGAACCTATTTGGGCCCAGGTTGTGATTATGTAACTCAAAGCCTTTGAAACATGGGCCTTCATTGGATCTTTGTTTCCCTTTTAAAAACCCTGTAAAATAATACTCTGTCATCGCAGGTCATGGCGTTTTTATCACCACGCGCCAGTTGTCTGCTTCTTGGCCATGGAAGATGCTCCAGATTCCTCTGCTCTGCTTCTTCTTCTTCTTCTTCTTCATTTCCAGGTGGGTATTTAAAGAATTAAACTTCTATCTGCTTTTTCCTTCTCCTTTTATCATTTCCTGGTTAGCTTTTTAAGTTTAAGTCAGTAAGTAAAGAATGTTATACTGTGCGTTAAATTGCAGACCACATTAGTTTCATCAAAGAAGTGGCTGCAACTCAACCTCCTCAGCATATGTCTCAGCTATTAAGAATACTCAATGCAAGAGGTAAAAGTTCCCTCTTTTTTTCTTTTTCTTTTTCTTTTAAATGATATTGGATTTGGGTTTTTGTAGTGAGGTACGTATAAAGGAATCAAATTTGGTGCTAATGGAATTCAGCTTATCACCCAAGAAAGAAAGTTTTATGCAGGTTAATTCAAATTCATGTGTGCATATGTTGCACTATCAGTAAAAGTGGGTTGTTTGGAGTGTCTACTTATTGTTATAAAAGTGACTGTTTCAGTACTGAAGATTTTGAACTTCATTGTTTGTGATGTAATCCTGGCTTTGATCCTATTCCGCAGAAAACTAACACATTGATTGAAAACTCTTAGGACTAATAGTCTCTATATCTAATACGTTGTAACAGGTGAATCCATTCTTTCTCCTGGAGCAAAGCAAGGGTTAATTCCACTGGCAATTCCGCTAGCAAAAAGTAGCTCAGGTATTAATGTGTTTTCTATGCTTGGAATTGGTTATTTATAAGAAATGATTAAGTTGAAGCTGTTGCAAGATTTGGTTGATGATAGGTGCTGTAACTGCATTGCTCAGATGGCCAACAGCTCCTGCTGGGTGAGAAACTTCGAATGTCTGACCTTTTATAAGTGGTTAATTCTCTTTAGCCTGATTGAGATTCCCCTCTTCCGTCAGGATGGAGATGCCAGTGGTGGAGGTTCGTAAACATGGAGTTTGGCTGTTGGCCAAGAATGTAAGTTGTGTGCATGAACAGCATGACATGTTCATGTAACCTTGTCCCATGGCTAGGGTTCAGAGCTGGAATTCCATTGTATTGATATCTGGAATCTTAAATTCTTAACCATGCTGACATACGTTCTTTACATCATAATTTCTCTCTCTCTCTCTCTTAAACAGGTGGAACAGTTTATTCACCGAATCCTGGTTGAAGAAGATGCCAATAGCTGCAAAAAAGGAAGTGATGAGTTATTTCATGCTGCATCCGATGCTGGGGAGAAACTTTATAAAAAGGGAGACTTTTCTAAATCTCAGATTACAGATGTAGACTTCTATCTTTTAACAAAGGTATTGAAACTGCATATATTTATATCTATTGTACTTTAATCAAATTTCAGCCATATAATTTAAATTGTAATGATAAATGACTGTTGCAGGTTGGTTTATTTCCCGATGTCCTAGAGCGCAAAGTGATGCAGCATATTGAGAAAGGGGACCATGTAAGACTACCTGACTGCTTACCTAAGTTAAGCAGTATCCTGCATGCAAATTAACATTTCCACTTATTTTTTACCTACTTGGAAAGGTTTCAGCTTTGGTGACTGGAGAATTTTACACAAGGAAGGAGCATTTTCCTGGATTTGCACGTCCCTTTGTTTTCAATGCAGAAGTTTTACTGAAGTTAGTAAAAACACTAATTACTCTCTCTTAATATTATTCTGTTATGTTCAAATGACATGTTCTACTAAGGAGCCTCATTGGCATTTTTCAGGGTTGGGCGTAATCCGGAAGCTAAAGATGCTGCAAGAGGGGCTTTAAAATCCCCATGGTGGACTCTGGGTTGCAAATACCATGTATGGGAGCTACAGACAATCCCCTTCCTAATCTTTGATGTGTTTTATTTCCTTTTTTTTTTTCAGAAAACTTTTCTTGTCAAATTAAACAGTGGCTTTCTTTCCAGGAAGTTGCTTGTATAGCAGAATGGGAGGATGAACAAATTGAATATATTACAGAAAAATTGTCCGAAGAGGGAAGGCAAGAAGATCTAAAGAAGGGAAAGCCACCTGTCCAGGTTTTAAGTTATAACCTTCGATGTTTATTGATCTGACTTTATAGACATTAGAGGTGTAAATTACCAATCTGTTTTTCTTTCTTCTCACTAATCTTCTTCAATGAAATCCACAGATCGCATTGGATGAAGCTGCTTTTTTGTTGGATTTAGCTTCTGTGGAAGGGACTTGGGATGACTCTCTGGAGCGGATTGCTGAATGTTACAAGGAGGCTGGACTCCATGATATTGCAAGATTTGTGCTATACAGAGACTGATTGTTAGTCTGCCATGTTTACATCTTCAATTTTGACAATATTTAATAATAATTTAAAGGCAGTTTTGCAATTGTTGCACGTGAAAATGGAAAATTTTACTATTAGGTGGTTCAATTGGTGACTGATTGGCCCTCATGACTAGCGTGAGCATGTTTGGCAAGGGTTGCTCTAAATCACTCATGGAGAGGAAGATATATGACTTGCCCTTTTTCACCTTTTCATTTTTGGTTCAATTTGTTGATTAGCCTATGGGGCTGCTTCTAAACTGATAATGTTTCTCCTCCATCTATTGCATCTGATCTGAGTTCCTCCAAGTTGCATTTATCTTAATATGTATGGTGCTAATCTCCTTGCTCATAGAGTTGAATGCTATTCAAGGCACATGGCAAACATGGCCGAGATAGCTCAAGGCAAAAAACTCTTCTGCGGTGATTAATGGTCATCACGATTTTTCTTTTAATTCACCAAATTACGGGACACAATTTTACATTGTTCTGTAATTATTGATAGAGGCGTGCTCAACTCAAATGTTACGTACGATTTCTGTAAATAGCAAGCCAAAGTCTGTCTTCTGTTAGCCAACAAACAAAAATGAACATACCAGACGCAGACGGTTAACAACGTCCAGAACATTAAGCATTCCTCTTTCCACCTGATAAATTCTTGGCTTTCTCCAGGTTTCTGCCATATATTTCACCAAGACTACATACAATATATTCTCTCCCAAGCAACCATCGAAAGCTAGACTTTTATTCATTCCCACTCGAACGCGAAAGAAAAACCAAAAAGCAACCACCGTGACAACAGCCTGAAAGCTCCACCTTGTCACCACTTTCTTCTTTAATGTCATTCTGTCAATCGGGCAGATGGAAAGGGCGTTTTCTTCCTTTTATCTTTTGTTTTTCTCCACAATAGCTTTTTCCATAAACTCCCACTTTGTTTTTTGCTGGGAACGATTGCTAAAGATTTAACTGCAGCATTGTCCTCCTGGTGTTTATTTCCATTCAAAACGACGTTATTTTCTAGAGGCTCTTTCATCCTGTTATTTTCTTTGGCCTTACAAGACTCAAGAGTTTTTGCTTCAGAATTATCTTCGGCTATCATCTGATCTAGCAGAGAGGATCTGTGGCTGATCAACTTCTTTGGTGGAGTTGGAATGGTCGTGGAGGTTGTAGTAGTGGCATCAGTTGGAGTGGAAATGACCTTGTCAAAAAGAGCTGCTTCCTTCGGAGATGCCAATGCCTTCAACTGCTTTCCCAAGTTTAGAATAGTCTCTTGGCACTCAGCCAACTTTTCTGAAGCAGCTGTAATCTCCCAGTTCTGCCAGATTGATCAAGCAACAATAATTTACATGTAACATACGAAGCAAGGATAATCTAATTGTCAATGAAGCCTCAAAGCTACCATATTAATTTATGTAAATGAAATTAAAGTAAAATTTTTTTATGCACACATAACAGTGTCATATAAACTTACGGTTCGAAGCTTATTTCCCTCCTGACTGAGTTCAGAGTTTGGTATTTCCCTTTCTGTCACACTGAAGGTAACAAACATAAGATGCACAACAATCTCAACACTGCAAAGAAAATTAACCTTGATATGAGGTTCACAGAGCAAAGTTATAAAAATTGATAGTACCTGTCAAGACATGTGGCCTCCAACTCTTCATGGCTGTTATTTTTATTCTGTGATTCCGGATCTTGAGAAGGAAACGTTTGACAAGCATTTACTTCAACATTGGTCAAGGAAAGCTGTTTATCAAGGTTTTCATTTATCAAATTCTGTTTTGCAACTTGACCTTCAACCATTTCTTCCGTTTTTCTCAGAGCACCTAACTCTGCCTGCAAGTTTGCAATGGTTTTTTCATATTCCTCAAGTTGATTAATCAGAGAGTCACTCCTATTGGTGGTTGACCGGAGCTTATCTTCCAGAAGTTTCTTTGCAGCTTCTATGTTAATCAACTCATCTCTTAGTTTTCTATTTTCTTCTCTCACATTAGGCTCTTCCTTTTGAAAGAAGTTACTGTTGCCATACAGAGCAGCGAGGTGTAATTTATCTGCCTCTGCAGATTGACCAACTATTCCAGCTTCTGCTTCACTTTCACTCCGTGATTCATCCCAGTCAAAATGCTTCTTAATTGCATCTCTCATGCTTGAAACATCTTGGAGGGAAAAGCAATGGTTCATAATCCAGTCCAGAGCAGAAGTTAATTCTTGGGTAAAGTTGTTGGCATCTGTCTTTCCGTTCAACAGGTCATAACAAGCATGCAGAAATTGCTGTAAAACGGCACAAAGTTCAGAAGTTTTCCACTGCAAAACACGAACCATGTAGCCTGAAGGTGTTTCTGATTGCTTGTATGAGAAAGAATTCCTTTCCTTCTTGGACAAGGTCTCTGGGATATTATAATCTGGTGATGGTAAGCTGATCCCCTCAATGAGCTCAATTATCCTGCAAATTGATTTACTCAAATCAGGTTGAAACAGTTGGTTGTTCTTCTCTGCTGAGCAGATGTTAACATCAATATCCCCAAGAGAAGAATCCATCTTTGAAGAACCATTTGAAGGTTTCCATGACATGTAGCCACTAATACAAGAGGGATCAGAGGATTTGGGATGGTCTAAACCCTCCCTTTCATCAAAAATTTCACCAGTATTTTGATAGTTCATGCAGGTTAGAGCTTTTCTAATATCCTCAAGTATTTCATCTGAGTTTCTTTGAGTTTCACGGTTTTGCTCTGAGATCACTTTCAGTATAGCCTGAAGCCAACTAGGAACTTTGCTAAGCAATGGATTTTTGGACTTCATTTCATTGTTCAACATGGTATGGTCAGACTGACTGTTGGGAACAGGGACTATCTCCTTACAAACCTCCAAGGAATTTCCACTTGACCCAGTTAGCAAGCGTCCAAGGGTCCCATTAGCTTCATCTGAAGAAACATGAGAACTACCAGACAGTTTATCAACAGAAACCAAAGCTAATTTTTCCATTTCAACAAAGTCATCCATTAGATTTATGTCTGAAGATCCAACAGTTTTGCGTGATGGCGACTTCCTTGATTGTCCATATCTGAAATACTCCAATTCAGAAAGTAAAGCTGAAGCCCAGGATTCTGCACAGCTGGCCTTATCATCGCTGCCAACATCAGACACTGATGCCAGAGAGATATCATGTGACATAACAATGTTCCTGGTTGACTCATTGTTTGCCCGACTTTTAGATGATTCTTCAAGCTGTGACTCAACCTCTGATAATTTGGAAGCTGTGCGTGCATGCATAACTCTGGAGAATTGAAGTTCACTTGTTTTCTTGTTAAGGGCTTCCTTGAGAGCCTTATTTTCCTCTTCCACTGCACAAAACTGCTCAGTTAGGATATTAATCCTTTTGCTTGGGCTGTCGGAATAACTGTCAACCGCAGAGTCAAGCCCTTGACCAGTAGGACTAGCATTTAACTTTCTCCTCATCATTTCAACAGAGTCCCTTCCCAGCATTTCAACTTCGTTTTTCATCTTAGCCAAGGCAGCAGGACCTGGCAATCGTTTCCGGACTAGGAGACGCAGCTTATGACATTCTGATTCTAGCTTAGCAATTTTCTTCACACTTTCTAAATGTTGCTTGTGTGATGCTTCAGCTGTTCGACGATTGAATTCTCTCTCTTCATTCCTGATCTCAAGCTCCTTCTCAAGCACTCGAACCTCATATTTCAGAGAAGCATTATCTTTCTCTGTGGATTCTAATCTTATCATTAGTGCATTAAAATCTGTCTCCATCTGAGCCCTTTGCTTGTTTAAATCATCAATCACATTTTCCTTTGCCAAGAGAACCTTACTAAGATTAGTGTTCTCAACACCAGTTTTGGTAAGCCTTTTGACAGTCTCTCCCAACTGCTCCTCTAAAATCTTCTGTGATTTCTCAAATTCTTTCGATGCCTTCATCACAGCATCATGAATCCTTTGCTCCTGCTCTTCTCGAACAAAGTGCAATTGCTGCATGCATTCCTTGAGGGCCGCATCTAAATGAGTTAATCTTTCTTCATTAACAACTCTCTGCTGCAATGCTTCATCTAGTGCTTGCTTTAGAGACACCGCTTCTGCTTCTGCCTTCTCCCTGCCTGTATAAAATTTATTGATTATAGAGCAGTCAAACAATCAACAGAACAACAAAACTTAACAAATAGCACAGCAATTAACAAGGAAAAACATTATATTACCTGCAAGAGCTTCCTGTGCTATCTCTTTATGTTTCTTCACAAGTTCGTCTTTGGAATTACAGTCAGAAAGTGCAGAAGAAAGCTTGATAGTTAAACCTTTCAGCTCATTCTCCAATTCTCCTTTATCTGCCACAAGAGTCTGTATCTGGGAGAAAGGTAAAAACCAAAGTATCAGTAAGACTTCGGTGCACATTAACAATTCCAGAGTAAAAGGGTTCCCAAAAATTGATCGGCAACCAAGAACAGGCATCCTGATATAGTCCAAGATTTCAATAAATGATGCCAACTCTTAACTTTTTCTCACTAAACATGGCGACTAAGTCTAACTTGATGAAAAACCCAATTATGCATGAGTCAACATTCATTTGAACTTTAATAAAATGAGAACTTTGGCAAAAATGTTCTAATCTCAAAGTCTTGTGCTCGAACATCTCGTATGGATGTAGAAGAACTTCCTTAGATGCATATATAATGGAGATACGTGGTTGTGTGGGAATAATTTGACGAGTTTTATTTATTTTTCTCCCCATTAACATTTAGAAACAAAGGAAACCAGGGAAAGCTTAATATCGTTGAACTTAAAAGGTGTAAATGTGTCCATTAATTTAGACCGAGGCATCAGCATCATCAATTTTGGAGAGAGTTTAATGGAAATATTCAAACATCCTTAATTTTACCTCGTCTTCATTATCTTTCTGCGACAGGTTTAGTTTGTCAGTTGCAAGAATGATCTTCTCTGTAGATTTCTTCCTCCAAAGCCGTGTCTTGTGGTCCATTATTTCACCAGTCCCGGGTTCAATAATCCAAAGCTTTCAGTTTAAAACACCTGCATTCAAATTACATTACAGTACAAGAAGTTAAACTTTCTTTCCCTCACATCAACCGTTGGAGAAAAATATCTGTCTTCCATTAAAAGGAACACTGAACCGGGCTAAAGAAGGAAGTATTTGTTAAATAAAACATTAATCCAACACGTAAATGTTAAAACACTCATTGCATGCATAACGTTCATGCTAGATACTTCGAAAAATGTGAATTTCTAAAGTAGAAAACAGGAAAGCAATATGTGATTCTAAGCAAACGTGAAAATATTGGAAAATAAAAGCCAAAGAAATGAATTTCGCTACCGTACTAGAACCAAAAACCGCAGTGAATCTGTTCAAATGAAAAGTTTAACGTCCTTTACCTTTTATGATGAATGGAGTAGTAGCTTCCAACCGTGCATGGATCATCAACAACAAAAACTCTCAAGTGTTTTTTCCTCGAAAAAACAGAGAGCTGAAGCAGAGGGAAAGTGTAGAAAATGTGGGTTGTTGGGAATTCCACCGACAGTGAAGAGCGGAAGAAAGAAGAAGAAGAAGATGATGATGATGAGATCAACTAAGTAACATAAAGGAGAGGGAGTGTGTTTGGTAAACAGGAAAAGTAAAATGTGGGAAAAGTGAAGTGACGGGAGAGACTTGAAACTGTGGAGAGAAACTGAAGAAAAAGAATTGGCGTTTTGCGCAGGGGAGAGATCCTGTTTTGTTGGTTCATTGCTTTCATCCGACGGCGCGGAAGAGCGCAAGTCTTTGTCTACTTTTCTTCACAATTCATTCCTTAGCTGTAAAAAAGAAGAGTAACAAGTAAAAACGTGCTAATTATTACTCCATTAAATAAAAAATGAAGGAAAAATCATTCTTTTTTCTTTTTTTATGTTTTGTGTGTAATTGTGTTAAGGAAAAAGGTAAATATGATTGACTTTAGGTTTGAATTTTTTTATTCTTTTCAATGGTTTCAACAAAAGATACTGTACTAGTGCTGAACCACACAAGCAATGAAATGTGTGAAAAGATTAAAGTGAACTAAATGGCATGGGTATAATAATTGTGGAAAAAAAAAAGAATAGGTGGAATAATTGCATATGATTGCCAAAGTTTTCAATTACTACTATTTTATTAAGCTTTTTAAAGTTTTTTTTAACATAATCTTTTAAAAATTTTATATTCTTTCAAAAAATTTAAATAAATTTTTATTTTTTTATTATATTCAATTAAATCTTTATATTTTTATCTTAAATCAAATAAATTATTCTACTTAATAATTGATTAATTACTATTAATCAAAACGTTATTTATCATTTTATATTCTTATAATATGTAGAGTGAAAATAATGAAACATGTTATTTCAATATATCATACACTATCTAATATATCAATATATTATATCAGCATTTCATATAATAAAATGATAAGTGAAAATTTGGCTAATGATAATTAGTCAATCATGGAATATAAAAACTTGATTAAATGAAATAAAAAATAAATATTTATTAGAATATTTTTACATAATTTAATAACTTTTTAACATTATTTTTTTATGAACTATTGTAAAAACATTTCTTATAAAATGACATTTTCAAAAGTCACAAACAGAACTTAAATTACTTGATGGTTGCTCTCACAATGTGGTTGGAAATTAAACTTAAAGATAAGATTTTTCTTAGATACCCAATTATAAATAAGAATTTTTAATGACTTATTTCATTTAAACATTTAAATGTGTCTTCTTTCAAGTGTAAATGCAACTACCCCCAATCCCCTCTGTTTGGCTTTCTCATTCTCCACTATGTTTGTAAATGAAACTTGAGCATGGGGTAGGTAAGATGCTCTTAATCACACCTTTCATCTATTAAACAATGTTAAACACACCCCCAATCCCCTTCATCAAACACACACAAAATAATAATAATAATTACTAAAGAACTCTTGGGGTTTATGACATGTCATTTTAACTTAAACCCAAAAAGCTTAAACTATAATTAGAGTATCATTGCATCTTTCAACCCTCTTTATTCTTTTGCTTTTTTCCTCTCCATTCAAGCATTATCACTAAGGCTTTGACATTTATTCTTGCTTAAACCAGATGCATACTTTATTAATTACTCTTGGAATCTTTCTTTGAGTTTCTTTATCATGCACTAAAGCATGATAGTGATATATTTTTTGGTGGCTTAATTAGTTGACTAGTGGCCCCTTCCTCCCCACCACCAATAACTGTTAGGAATATCATTGATTAATTTTTTCTCTAAACAAAGAACATTCTTGCATTACACTCTTGGTTTGTCTGTTTCTAGGACCATAATCCCACCTAGGATCTGTTTCACTGTTTTTTTAGAATTTGGTTTCGGTGCATACAATGTACAAGCACTGGCAAACTGTTACACGTGAAATTGTATAACAATGTTGTTGTATAAAATACAAACAGATAAAATGATTCATTCCTTGGTGGATGATATCATACCTAGTCTACCTGTCAATTTTATCTAATGGCTTCTATTAAAAAAAAAACAATTAAGAAGGTCAATAAGAGGTAATATTAGAACTTGGAATATTAAAATTTCATAAAAAATGTAATAAAAAATGTAACAATCAACTTTGTTTTTAAGATACGCTTGATATTTTATAATGTAATATGATTGTTAAAAATATAACATTGTAACGTATTGTAAGAGAAATGTTGATTAATAGATTAAAAAATAATATTATAGTATTTAATTTATAAATAATTTATTGAGAATGAATGTTAATTTTTAAAATTAGTTTAATATATAAAAATGTAAATTTAATATATTTTTAAAATATAAAATTTTATATAATATCATATTTTTAATAAATATAGTTATTTATATTTTTTTCAATTGAGGAAACGAGAAAAGAGATTCAAACATTACTCTTTAAATAAAAAATTATGTATCAATCAATAAATCAAATATTTAAATGTAATTATTTATCTTTTTTATTGTATTTTTTGAGACACGTTGACTGCATATATACTCTCTAATTCATAATTTGAAATCTAACTTTATATGAAAAAGGATCAAACTAATTTTTACATGAAATAATTGAACTTTGGGAAGTAATGACGTAATTTACTGTTTTGAGTCGATAAAAAAAGAGTTGAATGGTGAACAATGTGACAAAAATATAGTAATTCAGAAAACTACAAAACAAGAGCTTTGGTTGCAAAATCTACAGGCTGTTTTGTATTTGTGGGCTTTTGCGTTGGATTCGATATGTACTGGATCTGCAGAGTTCTGCATGGCGTGTCCTGACGTTTGAATGCTGCATTTAACAGGTTACTAACCCTCCTTTTTTTCTCTTTAAGAGAAACGTAACCAAAAAAGCA